TCCCTAACTTACAACCACGCTTGCCAAATCAGTAACATGCCCAACGCAGTTATGATTTTGTAGAACCTTGATTTATAGAACATTTTTCACAATTGCTAAGACATGGAATCAACCCAAATGCCCACAAACAGATGAATGAATGGAGAAAGTGTGGCACATATACTCTACGGAATACTACCCAGCCATGAAAAGCAACGGGACTCTGGCATTTGCTAGAAATGGACAAGAGGCTAGCAAGTGGCATGGTAGTTAAGGGACCAGAATCCCACAGATCAGCTGGGTTCCTGGACCTGGTTTGAGTGGTTTGAGTCATGGACCTGGTGTCTTGAAACTCATGCCAGGTGCATGTGTATGCATGTCCAAAATTCCAAGAGGAGACTGGAGGAGAAAGAACTGTGGTGTTGCTATCCCTTCTTACTTCCATTCTCTCTGTCTCTGACGACGAGCTCACATGCCCTATAGCAAAAAATCTCTCTCTCTCAGAAAAAAAAAGAAAGTGGAAAAACATGGAAGATTTACTACTAAATGAAGCAAACCAGACTACGAAAGAGGGTCATTATATGTCCTCACTCAATATATACCGAATGCCTGTACTCTAGCAGGAACGGAAAGATTGGGAGGCTTAAAGGCATAGAGAGCAACTGTGGATACCAAAGACAGTGTGGGAGGATGGTGGGAAGTGGGAGAGGGTCAGAGGAAGAAAATCAAGGGGAGCAAGAAAGAAGCAAAGCATTTAAAACACAAAAATGAAAAATGATCTGTGGATGATGTGTTTGATAATATCTCTAAACCGATTTACAATGTATTTATGATGGGAACATTTATTTAGCATGCTATAAGGATACACATGATTGAACATAAATTTTAAAAATAATATTTTTGTTGTGGCGTGCACAAATGGATGAACGGATGGTTACCAATAATCTTCCTTTTCTCTAAAAACCTTCTGCTTCCTCCTTATTGGCTATTCGATTCCCATAGGATGCAGCTTGTAGAAATAAATAACTAAATAAAATATTGGGGCCCACTCTGGTGCGGTGCTAATGTGCTGTTCAGGGGAAGCCGGATCCCATCCGGAGATGGTGGTTCCAATCCCCAGCCCAGTCAGCCCGAACAAGCAGGGCATGTGGGCGAGTGCCGCGGATCGGAGCAGGGGGCCATGGTGTGCCCAGTCTCTGTGGAGGCACTTCTCTCTGTCTTTGCCTCTCTCACGTGCTTATGCATAGCTCTGTCATGAATAAAGGAAAAAGTTCAAATAAATTACCTTATAGGCAGTCTCCAGTTTCTAAACTGTTTGGCTAGCATCTCTGCGCTGAATCCTCACATTCAAACTACTTTCCCCACATAGACGTGATCGAAGATGACAGGTGCTCAGGCACAGCTTGAGCAATGCCGGGTCCATGTGGAGCTCCCTGGGCGGCCTGTGGACACCAGCACGTGCAGCCATGATGCCAGCTGTCTGGGAAGGCTGGAAGGAACTGTGGCACGGACCCACTGGAAGATATTTGTCTTTCCGTCTCTCAAAAAACCCAACAGTCTCCAAACTGAAGGGCCATAGGCCTGGCCACTGTGGCGCTAGCTGTCAAGAGACTGTCTCTGCTAGCTGGGACCACATGGGAGGCTCAGGGTTGAGTCCCAGTCCAACCAAAAGGCCAGACGAGATAGCATGTCAGCCTGTAATCCTGTGACCTGGGGAGGCTGAGCCAGGAGGATGACGAGCTTGAGCATGGTCTGGGCCACATGGCAGGACCCAGTCTGAGAGAGTTCGCCGTGGTGGTGTACACCTGTGGCCCCAGCTGGCAGGCTGAGATAGGAGTATCTCCAGTGGAGACTCTGTCTTAACAAAACACAATAGAAGGGTGCTTATAGGGTCTCAGGTCACCCTGTCGAAGCCCACTGTAACAGGAAGTGGTAGATGTAGTGGCCATGTGAAGGAAAGAGATGTTAGGCGATGCCCCAAATGAAAGCAAGCGAGAACCAGAGGTTTCCTTTTCTACTTTTATTTTCTTGGGGGTGGGGTGGGAATTATCAATGCTTGAGATAAAGTTGATTTCATTATGGAAAAACAAAATGAGAGAAAATTTTGTGGATTTCTCAAAAGGAATTTCTATGTATTTTTAAAGATATTGAATGTTGAAAAAAAAGTATGTCCCTTAAATTGTCAATTTTCTTTCAAAATGAATGGCTTTATTTTTTTTAGACATGAAATTATCATTGCCACTGCATTTATATGTATTCACTTTAAATGAAATCTTTTTTTCTGCATCAAAATCAAAAGAAGGCTGGCTTCATAGTCTTGTGGGTAAGGGAGCCAGATCCCACATGGTCAACTGTAGTTCAAATCCCAGCACCTGGAAACATACAAGCATGGAGAGCAATTGTGATTCTAGAGTCCGTGTGGGAGGAGGGGGCCAGTGGGGGCAGCAAGGAGGGAATAAAGGGGGGAAAGCAAACATTTACCAATGCAAAAATGGAAACTTGCCTGTTGGTGGTGTGTGGGAAATCTCTTTGAGTGGGCTAAAACGCTCCACACTCGTGCTGGGAAAGTCAGTTTTATATGCCGTAAAGGTAGAAAGTAACAAGATGTTTCTAAACATAAGAACGTTCAAAAATATTGCTAGAAAAAAATATTCTAGGTGCACATGAGTGAGTGCCAAGGCCCCAACGGGATGTAGAAATGGAGAAGGGATTCTGCTGGATCTTCTAAGAAAAGTTCAACAGTCTAAATAAATCTAATAAAAAGAAAAATGAACAAATTAACATCAGATTAAGTGAGCTCTGTTTCTGGGTAAACCTATGGTATGTATTTGCATTTATTTCTTGTTTTTGCACATGTTGGTCTATCCAGGTGGGGAGGGTTGGGACTGCGTAGACAAATCCCTGATCAGATCCTGTCATTTACAAAGTCACTCAAGGACTGTTAGAGTTGTGTTTGGATAGATTCCCAGTGCAGACTCCTCTCCTGCACACCAGCCCATGCTTCCAGATCAATGGGGACCTCTTCAGACATTGGCTTTCAGACCTTGACTTACTTAATGTAAAACAAAACAAACAAAAACCAACGTTTCATGTTTCAGAAATGACCCGTCTCCTCCTCTTCCTTGTGTTTGTTTCTCTTCAGCCATTGACCACTGTGTGCTCTTGTCACATGCTCGGATTCAGAAAGGTCGCTTGAGTTACATAGCTGCTTTCACCTACCTATCTTTTCACTATTATGAAACAAACCCTAAGACCACATTCATTTTTGTCAAGGTCTCTGTGATTCTCCAGTTGCTTTTTTAAGCATGTGAAAGTGGAAGGAATACAACTCAGGTTATTTCAAAGTGTTGTTCCATTTAATTACCAAACTGTGATGTTCCATCACTTTCCCCATGGGATCAATGATACAGAACAGAGTGTGAGTAACTTTGTATTTATAGAAGGGCACACTCCTCTCATTCCCAAGATAGGCCTATGAGCCGGCTTAGGACGCGGTGTTGGGCTTACCAGGGCTGGCTCAGCTGAGAACAGAGGAAATTGCTCTGTCAGTCCGGATGTCTGCTACGTGACGTTGGCCATTGAAGGGAGTAGTGAAGGTGTGTATCTATTATAGTTGAAGGGAATCCAGGTATTAAACAGAGACGGAAGACCTTTCCTTTGATCCCAAGTAGGTCATTACAACAATTCAAACTGTGGGGACTAGTGAATGGCCATCCACTGTTTCCAGACGTGATTGCCCAGGAAGTGACCTCTGAAGGAGCTGGGACCATCCAAAACCAATAAAACAACACAAGAAATGCACACCTCTGTATTTGTATTTCATGTACCAAGATGAAAGTACTATTTTTGTAGGAGGGACCTACGCATCACTCATTCAGGTTTCTGCACCAGCCAGCTCTGGCACTGAAAGGTGACACCGGTCAGCTCACAGGCACAGGTGTGGCTGTCCCTGTCAGGAGAGCTCCTGACGTCCTTGATTGCAGTCCAGGTGCGTAAGGATTGTCCTCTGGGCAGTCGTCACAGCTATTATTTTGCAGACTTGGGGTCTTCACCAAAACTCTGACTCACATTATTGGCAGCAAATTGACATTTTTTTCCCAGTTGATTTGGTTATAGCATGAGGCGTAGCATATTAATGACTGATATTCATGTTGGGAGACCAAATCGAATATACTGAAATCCAAACTGGCTATTGAGATGTGAACACAGGAACATTTAAACCAGGAGAGAAGCTGCAGAGGGCAAACCCGATGGCTCATCTCCAGCAGTGCTCCTTCTGGAGTAGCAGGATATTTGATTTATGCATCATGTCAACCCCTGCCCACCCCTAAGCGTTTCCTTTGTCTCTGAATTTGTTGTCTGTCAAATTATTCTGTTCTTTTTTTTTTTCCTATATGCTTTTCTTGTAGGTGCCTTACACCATCTTCAAACAAGAACACACTTTTATAAAGAAGAGATCATTTTTTAATATTGAAGACAAGCTTTATTTATTAAAAAATCTTGAAATCCCATTGGTGTTGTGTAGGAACCTTGCTCAATCTGGAACTATCTGAAAGATTTTCAAACAAAGAACAGGGAACCTGCAGGAAGAGCAACGTCCCTAACCCTGGGAGGTACTGGTGGTCAACGGTACACATGGGATACGGACTGGAAATGACCTCTTCCCACACAGTGCTGGAACAACTAAAGACAAGCAACTGTACCTTAGACTACACTAGATACATGTGTGTGAGTGGGCTTTGCCCATGTGACTGATTTATTATTGAGAGTGGAGACAATCACTTTTCTTTGCTCTCTCTCTCTATTGGTCCTTAAGATGTCCTCCTTTGTAATTATGATATACTTAAAATAACCTCTTAATGCTCGTGCTCCTTCAGTAGGTGAAAGGTCAGTACGTTTCAGAAAGATGGGGCGCTTCTGGTGAAGAACAGGTGGTGTGGGAGGGGCGGAGGTGGGGTCACTTGGTAGGTGTGTGGAAGACCTAACAAGCAGCATGCTATATCACATGCAAGCACCAAAATAGCTCGGTGCTTTAGCTTATTATTCCCATTTTATAGTTTAGAAATAGAGACAAGAATGGTAAGCAATCATGTAAGATTTATCTTCTTTTTATCCCTTACCTTGAACCTATAGCTTTACTATTTCAAAGGTGGAGCTATTGCCAAGAACCCAACTCCTTCTGCATTAGTTAGGGTTCTCTAAAGAAGCAGAAAGGAGATTTATACCCACACACTAACACACAAACACACATACACATGCATAGTAAGGAATTGGCTCATGTGATTGTGAATGCCAAGATGTCCCAAATTCTGTAGGGGGCAAACTAGAGACCTGGGAGAACCAGTGCATATTTCCAGGCCCAGTCCGAAGGCCTGGGGCCCAGAGGAGCCAGTGATGTAGGCTCTAGTCTGAAAGCCAGCAGGCATGAAACTCTAGAAAAGCTGATATTTTAGTCCTCGTCTGAATTTTCAAAGTGACTGATGTCCCTGCTCAATCAGTAAGTCAGGAGTTCCCTTTTGCCCAGACCTAATTTTTCCCTATTCAAGCCTTCAACTGGTGAAGCCCATCCTCACTAGAGAGGACAATCTGCCTTACCGTCTACAGATGAAAGTATTAATCCACTCCAGACACACCCAGAATAATGTTCAACTGAATGTCTGGGCACCCTACGGCCCAGTCAAGTTAAGGCATAAAGTGAGCCATAGTCCTAGCTGAGACAGTAGGTATGTGTATGGAAATGCAGTTTCTAAAGATAGGGTCTTGCTGGCAGGATTCTCTTGCCTCCGTCTCCTGCAGGGCGCACAGCTGTCTGAGCTTCTAGAGTGGGTGGGGAATTCGCCGGGTTTCCCACATAGCTCAGCCTGAGAGCAGCAGTGTCTTATCAGCACAGCTGGTTGTACCTTGAAGATATTTTAATAGTTGAAAAGGGGAGTTTGCATCTTCCCCTTATGCCTCTCTTGGGGTCTATTAGGCATATTAGGAAATGGTGATAACCATCTGGCAGTCTGGAGTGTGAACTGCGGGTAATAATATGCGTATGAGATTTAATTAAATGTGTGCTCTAACACCCATGCAATACTAGGGTTTTACAATGTTTTGCACACTAAATAACTCCACGTCTATCAAATATGGATTGCCTTTCCAAAGAAAACTGATGCACGTAGTTCTCCATGGACCCTGAACACACAGGTTTCTCTCTCAGACAGCTGTAGGCACATTCTACAAATCTCAGTGAGCCACATGTTGGAACTATTCTTCATACTGCCTTTTCTTTCCAGGAGTGGACATTGGAGGGAAGACGATTGGGACGCTGTGTATAGGGCTGCACCTCTCACGGGTGCCTTCCAGACCTTCCATGGGGGCTTGTCCTAGAAGGGTGTAGTGGTAGGCCTTCAACCAAGAAAAGTCGCATGCACAAGTTCCACCTCCCCCCACATACATGTGCACACACACATGCACACATACATGTGTGTGCGCACACACACACACAGAACAACTAAAAAGAAGGAAAGGTAAAGATTTGGCTTGAAAAGCAATGTGCCTCTAGGATCTCTTCTCCTTTCTTGGGCAATTTTCATGTCAATGGGAAAATGGAAAATGTGAATAAGAGCTTGTGTTTTAAACCTGAGGGAAGATTCTATCTTTACCCCCAAATTCTAGTGAATTCTGTGAAAGCTGTCAATTTAGGTAGGCTTATCATGCGAAACTCTCAGCTCCCCTTGCTGTTAGATGGGGATTGGTCACTGCTGCCTACATAATAGAATCCCTTCTCCATCACCCCCTCCTCTTGAGTGTTATAGAAATCTTTTGCTTTACTATTTTAAAGGTAGATGTGTTAGCAACCCCCAAACTGCAAACCTCCTTCAGGTAAAAAAACACCTCAGTTCCATCTCGGCCGTTTCCTTGTTTATCATTGTAACTGAGGAGAAGCATTCATGGGATCGTGCTCATTTAAATTAATTCTCTTCCATGGACATGGTATAGGTTAGTCTATCTTTGCATCATTTCGGTGGTTTCTAAATCTTTCCTTCCCCATGAGCCTGTTGTGGCTACCTGCCGGGTTTGACACAATGATTTCTCACAGCCGTTTCCACACTGCTTAAATGGTCATCTCAAGGCCCTCCCCACTATCTCTCAAGATAGCCATCAAGAGGCCAGCACAGAGGCGCAGTGCTGACAATGCTCCGTGATGGCAAGGTCACCCTGGACTCTCCTTCCAGGCCTTGTGCATGCTGGACTGTGTCCATGACCTGGGCTGCCCGGGGCTGAGGGGGGACCTGTGTGGAGACCTCGCTGTGTGTGCCCTGCATTTCCATCCCTCTGCTATGGAAGAAATAAATAAAAAGATTCCCCCATCAGATATCATTTCATGGAAGTTTTTTTTTTTCTTTTTATGTTTTGATGCTATATTTTCTCAGTGTTTCCTGGTTCTGTTCCTGTGTGTATCTTTGTCACTTGTTCCCGAGGAGTCCCTCTTAGATGAGCAGCTCCCTGCTTTGACCTTGATTATTTATTTATTTATTTCTAAATAATAGATATCAGGACCCTTCTAGTAGTTTAAATAAATACTATCAACTATAATAAAATAGAGTTCTCAAGGAAAAAACTTAATGAACTTCAGCCAGACTTAAAGACAAATATTTTAATGTAATTCTTAACTCTGCACTCCTTCACTATCTGAGTTAGCTGCTATCAGGCTTTATCGACACGATTTCCTCGGTATCAGGCCGGGCTCCCGTGACATCACGGTGCCGCAAGTTGCTGACCTCCAGCTGTGCTCCAGCTGGACTGTTCCAATCGGTGCATGAACCCCGGGTGTTGACCGTACGGAACTTGAAAGAATTTGCTCTACCAGGGCGCGAATCTGTGTCCTTCTTTCCTCTGCAACCGCACACCGCATCCATGTGTGCTGTGGACACCACTGGTAGAGGGGAGGTGCCCTGTCCTTGCTCCCTGTGGTGACAGCATCGTCATTAGTAAAAGGCATGACAACGACAGGGACAAGGGCATCTTTGGCCCCATCCAGAAAGTGTCTTCAGGAAGTTACTAAATGATCTCTGCCAATGCTGCTGTCACCAACTGGTCTCCATTCAGTCATTTTTATGGCCACATCCAAGGCTCATCCACCTGCATGGATGACATTTCCGTGAACATTACACGACAATTTTATTTAGCTGCAGAAGGGCCTATGTTCACTAAATTGGCATAAAGATATTTGATCACTCTCAAAATCAAAACCCCCTGGCAGGTCAATGGTTTTATTCATTCAGAATGTCCAAAAGATATCCTGCTACACCCTCTCAAGGAAATTAGTAAGGGTGAGTTCCACGAACATTTTCAACAAAGGATAGTCGGACTAACTGCATGGTCTAGCAGATGACGCTGCTGCTGGTGAATCAGGTGGAACGCACACCTGCGTGCTCCTGTGTCTGTGTCTTCTGAAGGACGGTCTGCCCTGTTTGTCACATACCCAGGGTGTGAGGAGAGCGGGGCGGGCAGCCAGCCCTAGAGAGAAGCCGTGCATGTGTGGCTGTTTCCTTTCTAAAATGTATTTATTTTAATTTTACCATAGAGAGACAGGGTGAGAGAGAGAGGGAAAGTGAGAAACCAAGCCACCAGGTCCGGGACTCGAACCACGGTCAGCCATGTGGGAGTCCAGCACCCTTCAGCACCACGCCTCCTGCCAGCCCCCGGCTGTTTCCTTTCTGATTTGTTACTGCCAGACTGGCGTGGTCTTCCCCAGGCTTCCCTAGCCAGGGGCCAGCCCAGAAAGATTCAGAAGGAAGAAGGAAATAGGTACCTGATTCCTCCTTTTGTTCTCTTTCTTTTTCTTTCTTTCTTTCTTTCTTTCTTTCTTTCTTTCTTTCTTTCTTTCTTTTTTTCTTTTTTCTTTCTTTCTTTCTTTCTTTCTTTCTTTCTTTCTTTCTTTCTTCTTTCTTTTTCTTTCTTTCTTTCTTTCTTTCTTTCTTTCTTTCTTTCTTTCTTTCTTTCTTTCTTTCTTTCTTTTTTCCTTTTTGCCACAGGGAGTGTGTGCTTACTGAAGACAGAGAGCAGACAAGTGAGAAATCATCCCCTCCCCCCAAGGGAAGTGGCCATGCCACAACCCCTTTCCTTCCATTCTTCTCTCAGGATTTTGGGTACACGTGCAGACATGCCTGGCATGATTTTCACGCCTCCAGGTCTGGGACTTGAACTTGGCCATGTGAGAGTCCATCACCCTAAACAACATGCCACCTGCTGGCCTCTGTCCCCTTTCTATAAATGAAACAAAAAATAGATCTCCCTTCCCTCAGTACCTGGGAAGCATCCAGTAGCCCTTTGGGGTAGCCTTCCTCCTGCTACTGGCATAAAAGTAAGCGCATGCAGTCTAAGGGTTTGCACGGAGTCGGTCTGGCTTCAGGGAGGATAAACACAGTGAGCTCTGAGAAATCTCACATCCTCTTCCTGCAGCTCTCCGCTTGGCAGGTTTCCATGGGGAGCTGTGTTTATTTGTTGAGGGCAGATCTCTGTGTTCGTGGTTAATTGAAAAGGATAAGTAGGAGGAAGAAGCGGTTAAAATGGGCAGGAAAGGTCTCACCGACAAATGTGGGTGGGTTTCACTTTTGATATCTCCATGCAATTTTTTTTTTTTTTTTGCAGAGTTACCTTTCAAAGTAAGTGTTTTTATTAAAAAAAAATTTATTTCATTTTTAAAAATTTGCTGCAGGGCACATGAGCTTGCCAGAGAGAGACAGAGAAAGTGATAAAGCACCCCCCAGGAAGGGCGGTCACGTGGCAATTTCTTCTCGTCCCTTCTCTTTCTGGGATTTCGGGCAAGCACGCACACAGGCCCGGTGTGATACTCAGGTCACAGGGTCTGGGACTCAAACCACACAGCTGGCCATGTGGGATCCAACCATCTTCACCACCACACCACTGGCTGGCCCCCAAATAAGTTTTAATTTCATCAGGTTTTAAAATAAAATCTAACAATCATGCATGATGATGGTGCCGGTAATAACGACCAATATTAGAGCAATCACTTTCAAAGGAGGCTGCAAACTTAGGGCTGTTTCTTTCTTTAGGTTGCCAGACACATGCATTCAGGATACCTCATCGTATTTTAAACACAGAACAATTTGAAGGCATCAGTCTGTGGCCTATAGAAATTTTCTACTTCAAAATGTAATGCAGACTCACAGAAGTCCAAGGACCTGCCCAAGGTCTCAAAGCTCAGGGGGCAAGAGTTGGAGAATGAAAGCCAAATTCCAAACCCGCAGATCTGTTCTCCCAGAACTGGGCTATTGAGAACACTTGGCCACGTGGAATTTTCCGAGTGACTCTGGTCTGCACACAGATGGATATGTGAGTCATAATATGTCCCCTTTTTAAACCAAACAATAACCCTCATCGTTGTCCCCTCGTGCGTAGATGGTGGCAAATGACTGTTTGCTGAGCCCCTTCCCTCCTCCCCTCTGTGCTCCACTGAGATCATGGAAACGCAAAGTAAATAACAGGGAGTGACATGCCTGAGAGTATTTATTTAAGAGTATTGTTCCAGGATGTGCACAAAGATAAAGACCGTGTGTGCTGAATGAGTGGCTCCAAGCACGAGAAGTCAGAGTTCTGGCCAGGGTGAGGCTTGTGGCCCCCTTAGGACATGCCCTTAGGAGAAGGTCACCTTGCCAAG